TCCAATTGCATATGTCTTGTTTGTTATTCTTTTGTTCCGGGGCTATAATTACACTATGAGTATATGATTGCCTTTGTACTTGTCACTCATACTTGTGTAATCAATTATTTAATTTCCCAATTGTATTGCATCATACTGTTATGCCCCGCGATTTTTATTATTACATACATTTTATTATGATTTGACACACTGAATTACTTTTAATAAATCATTTCTGTGTTTTGTTATATCTAATCCATGTCTTTGGTAAAACCATAATTATCGATGTGAAGCTAATCAATGAATGAAATTAAAATTTTATTTCTTAGTATAATTAGCATTATTTTTAGATACAGGAATCTATTTTTTTATATATATGTAGAATAGTTTTTCACGATTTTACAAATTGCAACGGAGACTCTGTCCGCAAAAAATATATTGGAAAATAAAATATCAAATGTTTATTCATTGTTGGTTGATATTACCATATTTTGAAGTGTTCTATTTTCATAAATTCATTGTTTGATGACTTTTACTAATCGGTTTTCCGCAGTTAAACTGAATATATGCATTATATGTCGTTGCCGAATTGTATTTCAAATGTTTCACCTCATGGTGTCAAATTGTATTCCCGTTTATAAATTAGCATAATGCTCACCCAATGGGATCACTACTTAATATTGTTGTTACGGTGCTACAATTGAAAGTATATTTTAACATCTAAACTTGTAAATGATCTATCACGTATGTCAAAAGCAAAATGTTGTGTAATATGTTATTTTGAAGTCAATAAAATGTTATTTTCACGATGTTTATAACATCTTTATGCTCTTTATTTTTCTCATATTATACTAACTCTGATAGTACATAGGAACTAGAAACAGAAGTGTAGTCTAGGGAGTCGGGAATGAAAACACGGTTATGCGCCTTTCACTGTTCATGCTTATACACTCATATTTAAGGCTGTGTGAACAGGTAAATGAATGATCAAATTCAAGGTCCCCATCTACCACGACGTCCACCTTGTGGGTTGGTATTTTTTCATAAATAGATTTACTTCGCCCATTGACACAACAACTTTATTTGAAAGGTTGTAAAAATCTTGTCGATTCATTAAGGTAGCGGGACTATTATTTGCATACTTGTTTTCATCTTCTAATTGTGACTAAATGACTATAAATAGACCCAGGAAAGTATAAATTTTTAGAATCGCCAGACTTCAAGCTTTTCACAAGTGTATTTTGCATGCCCGTATCTGCATTCTACGACACGTTACTCAACCAAAGGTGAAAAATTACTTTTTCTGTAAAAAA